ACTTGCCTTTATTTTAAAATATAAACTTTTTAAAAGATGTTGAAGAACGGTAAATGTCTAAAACCAGACCAAATTTTAAAATTTGCCTGTACAGGGTGATCCCCTATAATGTCGCCCCCTTTAACTTTTTTATTTTAAGTTTCCCAAAAAATTTAAAAGTTTGGTTATGTAGGAACTAAAAAATACTTTTTTCTACCTATAAAGAAAATTGGAAAATTGATCAGTATACAGGGAAAAACAAAAAGTTTATTTTTTTTCAATGGATCACCCTATATATGAATTTATTTTTCGATTCCTTGTAAAATTCTGAACATAATTCATATAACAAACCATATACCTAAATTCAACTGTTTCTGAAATATTCGCATTCGAAATGTTATCATTAAATGTTTTTTAAACTGTTAGAAATCAAGAAGCCTCAGTATACCAAAATTTTTATTGAAAATAAATTACTTTAGTGACATTATGTCAATATGTCTTGTTAAATAAGTAAAAATGACGTACTCAGACAGAGAAAGACAAACTATTTCAACTTATTATCTTAAACATAATTTAAATTTTTCAGAAACAGTTGAATTTAGGTATATGGTATGTTATATGAAATATGCTTAGAACAGGCTTCACAGCGGCACTGAACTTTAAAATAGGGACAATAGGGCCTTAACTTTTTAAAAATAGGGCCCTATAAGGAAGTTAGAAACATTTAAAAAAAAAACTTTATTTAACTATGTTTAGTCATTACAATGAAATAAAAAAATAACAAAAAACTGTATTTCTCTTTTAAAATAAACTTATTTCTATCTTTGGTATTAAATAAAAAATAATACATGTGGTTCTTACTTCTATTCGATGAGAAAAGATTTTTATGAAAAAAGCTCGGACACGTAAACTTTGGTGTTTTATTTCAAATCTTATAATTGTTATTTTTTTGCCCCCACATTTATCTTAAATAAAAAACTACTTTTTTATCGTAAATTGTTAGGACACCTTTTTCTGAGTATAACGATACCCCATGGGGGTATAAGTACTAGTTATTAAGTAGATTAAGTAGGGTTTTTAGAGAATATAAGAAACAGAATAACTGAAGAAATTAGAAACATAACACCGGTGGTTTTAAACAGAGTGCGGGAATACAATAAGTTACTTAAAAATGAAAAGTTTTTTAATCTGTCATTATACATTCCACCCTTTATTGCAAACTATGTTAACTAGACTCTACTTATAGTTGTATTCAGAAAAATGTGTGCTATTAATTTTCGATTAAAAAAGTGGGGTTTAAGATAAATGTGCATGTGATAGGGAACAAACGGTGGGGGACAAAAAAGTTATAATTTTAAGATTTTAAATAAAAAACAAAGTTTATATGTCCGAGCGTTTTTCATAAACATCTTTTTTGATAGAATAAGTGAGAACCACTATGTAAGTTACATAATGTAACTGATTCAAATTTAAAGTTTTTGCTTTTAACATTCATTTTTAGTTATAGTATTTATCACATTTGATTTTCTTTTTTCTATTCTATTCCTTATTTTAATTACTGCCTCTCTTTGTGTCTTTTCTGTTTCTCTTAGTTTTACCAGACTAGCATTGAATTCGTTAGCAACCTCGATTTTTTGAACATCTTTAAATTTTGCTGCTTCTTTAATGTATTTGTCAACTTCCTGTTGCATCATTTCAGCTGTTTTTATTGTACCCATATGTTCTTTTTCAGCTTTTTTAAGTTTTTCCTCCATTGCATTAATGGCGTCTCGCTCTTTTAATGCATCTTCCATCCTTTCCTTTTTAAGTTTCTCCTGTTCCTGTTGTTCTTGTTGTTTTAAAAGATTTTGGCTTTTTATTTCCCTTTGCTCTTCTAAATATAAATTGTAGGAGTTATGCGCATTCTGAGCCAATTTGATAAGTTCCTTTATAACTGTAAATTTATGAGCATTGCTATTATATAAGTATGATCCATCGATTATTGAAAGCTTTGCATTTAACATTTTTTCGGACATTCTGAACTTATCTTCAGTTAAAACGAGACCAGATCTTGAAAATCCACGCTCTACATCGGCATTTCCGTGACTTAAAGCCAAAATTGCTTTCACAATAATGGTGACAGTAGGATATTTTAGAGTTCCATTGGAATTAAGTTGAAAATTTTTAGACCAAACTGTATCTATTCTATTATTTGTGCATTCAAAATCATCTATTTTATCTAATTGAAGTAATTTCCATTCTACAGTTAACTTATCTATATCTACAGTAAGTGGTAAATATTCTATCAATTTTATAATATATCTTAAGCTCCAGGATTTTTTTAAACAATGGATTTCAACACATTCAAAATATTTTAAATAAGAACACTTCATTGCAGTTTTAATAATATGTTTGACAGCATGCTGTTGCAACTACATAGAATCCTTTTATGCCATTAAAAAAATGCAGTTTTTCCAATTCAGGGAACTTTATAATTTCCTTTTTTGCATTTTCGCCACAAAAAATATTTAAATTATTTAAAAGATTTGAAGAATTATTTAAAATTTCCTCAATCTTTTGAAATTCAAAAACCTTAATAAATGACAAGATCTCAGACTTTACCACATTTGACAACAGTATTGTGACGAGTTTTTTTAATTGTTGATACAGCAAATGAATCAATGGTTCTTTCTTTTGCATAAGAAGAGTAAATTCAGCGGTAAATATTTCTGATGCATATATTGCAAACATTAATGATGCCTTTAATGTTTTTTTTAGTAAGTATTGTTTTATCTCTTTATAAGTTTGCGACTTCTCGGAATTTTTATCATTTTTCGGAATATATTTTAAAAAATATTCTTCAATAGCATTGAATTGTTCTACAATTCTTTTGGCCGCCTGACCCAAAGTTAACCACCTTGTGTTAACATGTTTGATAAATCGGTGGTTTGGTAAATGCAGTTTTTGTTGAATTTTAGAAAAAGTCTCTGTCCTTAAGTCACTTCTTTTAAAATAGTAATAAATTTTTATTATAAAATCTGAAATATTGATTTCTAAATTATCTATCCCTTTTGAAAAAGCATTATGAACGACATGTATGGGAGAACTTCCTATATCCATCAAAGGTTTACAATTCTCTTCAACCATTTTGTTTTTAAATTTAATGCTTTTGTTAACATTACAACCATCACATGCCAACATAAGCAGCTTTTTAATGGACAAGTTATGGGTTTCCAATGCTTTGACTAGATATGAAAATATTGTTTGAGCATCACTTTTTTCAATAAAGTAAGTAATTAAATGTTTATTAACAATTCCACTTTCCTTCTCTGACCAATAAATAGTATTTATTTGCAATTCCTTTTTGGTTTCTACATTACTAGTTTCATCAAATTGTAATGTAAATGTATTTGATGTTTGCAGATCTTCCAACATTAAATTTTTAAAATAAGGACCTAACGCATGTGTTATTAAATATGACACTTTACTTGGAGAAATAGAAAATGTATCTGGCACAGAACCTGGAAACATTGCTTGAAATAATTCTTTTTTTCCTTGGCACGAGTTAACAGAATAATTGTTTATGACATTGTCAATTGCAAAAAGGAGTTCAGCTTTTATAGCAGATTCTCGTGGAAAAACGTATTTTAAAAATAAAATATTTATTTAGGGACAAATAGGGCACCATTATGAATTTTAGGGCCCTTTTAGGGACCATGGTTGAAAATAGGGCCAAATAGGGCTTTTAGGGCCATGGCTGTGAAGCCTGTTAGAATTTTACAAGGAATCGAAAAATAAATACATATATAGGGTGATCCATTGAAAAAAAATAAACTTTTTGTTTTTCCCTGTATACTGATCAATTTTCCAATTTTCTTTATACGTATAAAAAAAGTATTTTTTAGTACCTACATAACCACACTTTTAAATTTTTTGGGACCCTTAAAATAAAAAAGTTAAAGGGGGGCGACATTATAGGGGATCACCCTGTACATAAAATGCTATGTATACATATATTATTATAAAAAATTGGTAAATGCAAAAATGATACCCAAAAAATTTTTTTTGTTTGTCCAAAATAGACTTTGGGCGTGACACCCAGAAATTTTTTTGCCAGCAGTTTCTCCCGTATAAGGGCCCCTACCAGATTTTTGGTACGGGGTCCCCTTGAGGCTAGGTACGCCACTGGTGCATAGATCTATCATTGCAATTTAATTGGCAATGCCTATTTGCGGCCACTTTTACATAGGCAACCGCATCCCATCAAGTGAAAAAAAAAGTCCACGTCCCAACCAGTGGTACCAAAGGGCGGAGAATTCTCCGCTTTTCGGAGACATTTAAGGTCTGCGGAACTTTGTTGTTAAAGTGGGAGAAAGTAAAAATATACTGTTGGCAACACTGGTCCCAAACGCAACTCAGGTGCCTAATGTCGTGAAGCCAAACTTAGAATTCTAGGCTTTTTCTTCAAAATGTTTGGCCTTTAGCTTATTTAAAAGCTAAAAGCTATTTGGTCAAATGCTTGGCAACCGAACCCGCCAAAACAATAATTGTTGTTTGGTTAGGTTTTGTTAGAGCTTTAATTTATGCATTGGATGAGAGCTTTGCATGGTGAGCACTTTGCCTAGCTGTAGTTTCCCTGCGCACGCTATTTGGCGTAACATGTTTTGCCTTGTTGTCGTGGATTACTTGTTCTTTATTTAATCTCGAAAATTATCTAAAAAAAATGCATTTTAAAAATTGTAGTAATCACGTATTTACAATAAATGTCAAATTGCCAACTAGGATCATATATATAACACAGTTATAATGCCAAGCACAGTAATTTATAATATTATATAATATATAAAAGGTATAATAGATAATAGGTTGCTTAATTTAAAATCTTAGTTTTAAATATAACCATAACCGCAAGCTCTTTTACCGACTGAGATTTTAAAAGCGCCACCTATAATGTAGTGTACCATACATTAGCACTTCATGTTTTATGTATTAAACAAACGTACAAATAAAGTGCTAATGTATATGCTCTGTTATTTTTTTAGTAACTAGCTTAAATGTGACACCAACAGGGGACAGTGTTTTTGGTAAAACTCAGCTAATGCACCCACAAACTGTTTGTCAGTTTCTTTATTGTTTAACACCCAGTGAAAAATTATCTTCAGACCTAAAATCCTTAAGGGGTGCTACAAATATTGGAAAGTTAGACATTGTTTGGAGATCAAACTTAGGGGAAAGGGGCAGATTGCAAACCTGCCAAATGCAAAGAATGGTAAAAGAAAAACATTTATCAAGAAAATTGTTTAGACAAAATACATTTAATGTATTTTAGGGACCTGACTATGGGGATATTAGAATGTCTGTAGTGGAAATACCAAATTTTGTAGTGTTGGAAGAATTATTTTCAATTAAATGCAAAATAATCAACAATTGGTAAGATTTCTGATCCGACAAAAATGTTTTATACAAAATTATACATACATAACTATTTCTTTAGTGAACGTACAGTGGATCTGATGGTATATTTAGAAAACGTGGAGGGGATAGCCTGGTGCGACATTTCTGGGCGCAAATTAGAACCTCTACCTCCCCACTCTGTAAAAATTTTAGAGTTTAAATGTATACCTATTTTGCCTGGACTTAAAAGTATAGCAGGTATTAAGTTGTTGGACACTTTTCTAAAACGGACTTATCCCTATAATGATTTGGGGCAAGTTTTTGTTATGGTAAATGACAGAAAAGAAGAGTTGGATGATGATAGTGATGATGAAGATGCATATCCTGTAAGTGCATAATGTTCATAGATATTAATTTTTTAAGATAAAATAATGTTTGTAAATATTGTTCTTCTATTTGGTTTTAAGTATGTTAAAAAAAGTGATATATTATAATGTAATAGGTGAAGTTTTTAATAAAACATTAATTTAAATCAGAGATTATTTAATACTTGTTAACAATGTGAATCACAAATTTTGACTAAGTGTTAGTAAAACAAAAAACAGTGGTTTTAAAATATACAGGGTGTTTTTTTCATAGTAAGGATGTTATACCTAGTTTTTAAAAAATAAATTTTGTTATCATTTTAAGTATAAAATTTTAAAGAAATTTATTAATAAGCAAACTTGCTTTTTCGTTAGTTTTTATATATGAGTCATTTCAGCAAATATGCGAAGTTGTACCGGGGGTCAAAAAAGTAAATAACATACATTTTTGAAAAGTACATGTATGTATACCAAAAAACGATTTCAAATTTTTGAGTTCCAAAGTTTTGAGTTTTGCATTTTTGGTCCGTTAACGTATTGAAAAAAATATAAAAGATTCATCTTGTAGTTTTTTATGTTGAAAAATCTCAGTTTTCTAAAAAAAATATCGCGATTGGTGTCAAGAAAACTCCAAAAAAACCGAGATTAACATTTTTAAACCGATTTTTCAGGTTGACCCATTCTTTAAAAATTTTGAGAATTTTTGTTTTTAATAATTTAGACTTTTACAAATAAAATATATAGAACGGAGAAGAGTCGAAAAAATGAATGTTTAAGTTATTTTCTAAATTTACATTTTTACTATCTAATCTAATGATTCAAAGTTTTTTTACGTAGCAAAATTTTTAGAGGCATAATACAATGAATAGACTTTCATAGTCATCGTCTTGAAAAATTAAAAAATCAATATTTGTAAAAGACTGACAGGCCCATTCTTTTTAACAATTTCACTAACTCTTCTTGAAATGTATAAACTGCAACAATCTGAAATCCCAACCGTAGATATCTAGGATCCCAACGAAGCTGAGTTGCTTGGATACATAATTGTCTTTCCAAATTCGTACAGTAGGATAAATTTAAAAAATAGGACAAATTTGCACAGTAAGTAGTAGAAATTAAGAAATAGTGGAAAAAATAGCTTCTGTCACGCATCGACTTGCTGGCATGATTTATTTGCAATGGATTACTTTTTTACATAAAAGCTTTATTGTGAGAAAGTGATTTTTTTTACGAATTTTGTTTTGTTTGACTGCCAATCTGTCGCCAAATTTAACTTTAGCGTCAACATGTAGCATAGATGGCGTTTTACGGCTTTTGGCGCACAGTATTGCGTGCCACCGTGGCACATAGAAGAAAAAAACTTTTATGCCGTGACAGCAACATTTAACCGCAAAACTAGTTTTTTTCGAACCTTGCCACCGCAGCAGTGTCAGCAGTATTTAGTCGCAAAACTAATTTTTTACCGACTCTTTTTCTGCCTTCCCCAATTACGTTTTATATATTTTTTATGTAAAAAAGTTTAAATTTAAAAAAATAGGTATTTTGTAAACAATCCTTTTAAAAATTGTAATCTCGTTCTTTGGGGGTTTCTTGAGACTTGAGAAAATCGAGATATTTTTTTTTTAAAGCTAAGATTTTTTTACAAACAAAAAACTAGATGATATATCCAAAGATGTATTTTTTTGGATATATCCTGTATATTATTTTAACTTGCTGTAACTTTGGAACTCAATAATATTTATTGTTATTTACAACTTCTCCAGATGTTTGGTGAAATGACCCATATTGATGATCATATTAGACAAATCTGTTAAAATTAAATGTATAATATTTATTAATGAATCATATAATCAATAATTATAAAAAAATTCAAGACATATTTTTTAGGTCATCTTTTGTTTTATGTCCAGTTTTTTAATTTAAAATATATTTTAATATTTACAAAAACTGCTTAATTAATAGCATCCAAAATCAACAGATTAGTTTATCTTAAAATACTCAGTATTAAACAATATTATTTAACTAAGAATAAAAAAATAATACAAATTCTTTGGTAAATAGTAAACTTTTAATACAGTTACAAAAAATAATACTGATTAATAAAAAAACAAAAACCTAATAATTGTGACACCCTGTTTCTATAAAACCCAATACTAAATTAAAAAGCACAATTTTGATATAAAAAAACATCTACAATTCGAAAAAACCATCGGACTTCTCATCCAAAAACAACAACCTAAAAATATCATCGTAAAAACTTGGATAATATTCGCATGCCCTCTTGCAATCGGGCGCAAAATTAACTTCGAGCAACTTTGGCTGAATTTCGTTCGTTTCCGTCCACTCCAACATGATATCGGCCGCGTACAACGATCTAGATTGCGGCGAAGCGGGTATACCGCAGGGAGCACTTTCTAGCACTGCTGACTCGAACAATTGACGAAACATTTTTAGTATCGATGATTCTACTTTCTCCCAGGGGTAGTTGGCGTACTGTTGCATCCATAAGGTTTTAAAATCCTCGGCTAGACATTTTTTGAGGTTAAGGTTATCTTGGTAATTCATTACAGTAAAATGTTTTTCATATACATCAAAGTCGCTGAGGTCAAAAGATTTGTTAGCAAACCTTAAGAAGAATTGTTTGTAAACATATGCCTCTAAAGGTTGTGATTGTTTTAATAATAATACATAACGGATATCAAATTTAACTCTCTCCCCTATATCAGCTCTATGGAATAAAACAGGGTTTGTTATATACTTTTGTACAATTTTAGGGCCTGTTTCAGCCATCCTTACCAAACTATACACATTATTAGTTATGTACATATCTAAACCTCTGGCTAAATTATAAGGCTTTACTATCCAATAGTTATCTAACCCTTCTTTAACCCTGCTTTGAAAACAACTCAAAAAATGATGTATCTCTGTATTTAAATTATAAGTCAATGGAAACCAGTCTTTATTTTCACTTCTTCTACAAGTCATGGACAATAAATCCTTAACTGTCAAAACATACTCGTATGGGAACTGATTTACCAACTTCTGGGGAGTTTTACTCAACTCTTTAAAATCACTAAAGTGATCTAAATACCACATAATATCCGCTGTCTCTTCTGAATCGACAAACTCAAATCTATCATCCTTTAAATACTCACAAATCAAATTATACTGTGAATAAACCTTAAATTTATCTTTCTTACTACTATCTAATTTCTCACCACTACTCAATTCTGGTAATGTCTCTGGTATATGCCCGGATAAATAATACTCTTTGTCTGGTATAGGCGCTTCAGGGGATAATTCGGTGAAATCTTTGTGCCACCAAGCCAGTAAAGCTGCGTATTTTTTGATGGGGTCTTTTACGCTTTCAGCGTAGTCTCTTTTAGCTAGGTAGTCTTCCTCTATGTCGTCTGTGGGGAATAGTAGGGAGTACATTGTATGCTCGTTTACGTACATAAAGGGCACAATTCGGCAGTTGGGGTTGTCGTTGTGGTATACTGCACTGCCTAGTTCGTCCATGATGTACCTGTTTGGAAAAATTTAAAAAATATATATTAAGTATACATATAATAACAAAGTGCCTATAGTATAGGCAGTTGGGGGGGATTTTACTTTTTTTGAAAATGGTCTTAAAACAAAGTTTGAACATTATTTTAGTCGACATGTATTTTTTTGTATTTTTGGATACTCAGGAAATTGTGTATAAGTGTTTGAAATATTTATTTTTTAATTAACCCATGCCACTCACATCACAATTTAGTAAATACAAATCCATTATTTTGCAAGAATAATCGATGTTTTTAAATAGATTTTTAATTTAAGGTTGAAATTTTTAATGTGTCGATTCTTTTACAGTCGTATGCAAATAAAAAAGCATACAGCCTTAGAATGAGAGGTACTGCACTTGTCAAATATGGCGAATTTAGGTTATAAAAATACAGTGCTGTAGATGTAAACCAGCCGTCAGTTAACTGTCGGCAGGTTTACATTTACGGCACTGTATTTTTTATAACCCAACTCACCATATTTGACAAGTGCACTACCTCTCATTCTAAGGCTGTACGCTTTTTATTTGCGACTGTACTTAAGGTAGTATCGTTAAAATAAAGTGCCTTTCTTGTAAAATAATACTTATTTGAAAATTATTTTTATTATCTCAATACAAAAATAAAAATATTAAATAGTTTTTTGACGCCAATATTTGAAAAGATTATAATCTTTTATAAGCAGAACAGAACCGACAACACGGATCAGATCCCGGAAAACCATTACTACATATAACGCCCCTGGAAACCTAAAGCAAAACATACCGTATATATAACGTATTTTCATTTTTCCTCTAGACAGGCCGCATTCGGGTTTTAAGAGTGGGAGACGCCGAGTCTCGGACGGAGAGATGGTATTCGTAATTCAGCAGTTGAACCTTCACCGGCGATTGATGATGTTGAAGTTTGTTCTGGATTATTAATACGAATTACGCATTATTAAGTTAATTTCTTTTAAAAATGATTCAGATACTTAAAATGTAACGTAATCACTTTTAACAGTAAATTATTATTAATTTATATATATTAATATATTATATATAAGGTTAAAAATAATTATTTGTTTTGCATTTAACTAAAAGTATTTTTTTTATAAAAAATTCTCTTTAAAAACTAAAATAAAAAAATAAAATATTTCTCTTGAAAACAAATTAAACTAAATAAATCAATACTCTTAAAACAAAACAAAAAATCAAACTTCTTAAAATAAATGTAAATAAATAAATTAAATAATAAAAATAATAAATTATTATTTGAACACAAGCTTTGAATAATTTATTTAAAGCCTATTTTCAAACGTTCCCCCAAATTGCGTCAAACAAAAGCCCAGTCTGTCATAAAATTCGGTGCGAACATTAGCTAGCATATCTGGAGTAATTGTCTCAATCGCTGTATGCATTCTTGCATCTAATTCGCCCAAATTATACATTTTTTCATGACGGTACAAGGTAGATTTTACATATCCCCATAGGAAAAAATCGTTAGGAGCCAAGTCTGGCGACCTTGCTGGCCAGCGAATAGCTCCCCTGGTAGAAATTATCTTTTGGGGAAAAATCTCTCTATCACTATTCTTGTGTTATATGATGGGCAACCGTCCTGTTGATCCCATAAATACCAGACCACACGTTCAACTTTTAAGTTTAGTTGCCTGTACCGTATTGCCAGACAATAGCAGGATTGTGCTTTCCATGAAATGGAAATGTGGATTCGTGGGTAAATACTATTTTCACAAAATTCCATTCTTCGGTACTCGTCGTCTTGAAAAATTCCTTGGTATTTATAGGAACAATATTTATATAAAATTGGATTGGGCCTGGACTGCCAGCACGCCCCTGCTATATTATATATATATATATATATTGCAAAGACTGAAATGCCTTCCATCTCGCCACCGAGCAGGGCTCGAAGCGCGGGATTGACGGGAGACACGCATCAAGCTCGGCACTGTTCACTTATAAAGAAATAAGTGACCATTACAGCGGCAAGATGTATCGGCAAGTTAGTCTGGAGACATCTACCGTCTAAAGACGCGGCCTCGCTGTGCGGCGTGCAATCACAATGCACTTAGACACGCACAGTGGTGGGTTTCAGCTATGCGGCAATGTTTCAGCATTGACCCAAAACTAAGTACAATCCGGGATCCCCAAGACCGGGGATTTAGCAACACCCAGATTCAATTGGGGTTCATAATTGGGGCTTGATTGGTTAATACACTGTAAGGGCATATCGTGCTTCTTGTGGTACTTCTTGTTCGTCTGCGTCCATGTCACTGCTGAAATTATGCTGAAAATTCGATTACCGCTTTAGAATTGTTTGTCTTACTGTGCTAAGACTGAATCTTGTCTTCAGTACCAAAGTGTTGCCGTCCACGACGATCTGTTCGTATTGCCCCTTTGTCTTCGTGGAAAATTTAACTGCTTATTCTAAAAACTGACTCCAGAGAAAAATTTAGCATGTTGACAGTCGTTTTGGTCGACTAGAATTACGTCTTTATGGAGGCGATCACTTCAGTTGGTTACCTAATTTATGGCCCCTTAAACGTGCCTTGTAGTCTACATATCGATGACTTTCTGCAAGCAACATTTTTTTGTTTTAAAGTCTGTTTTAAACCATATATAACCTATAGGCTTTATAACCAGTAAATAGCTATAATTATAAGCTCTTTACTTGTTGTAAAACCTTTAGGCTATATTTAATTTAAAACAGATTTTAAAACAAAAAATGTATTCAATTCCCGAAATTTGAGTTATGTTGCTTGCGATACTTTGGCAGAAAGTCATCAATATGTTGATTTCTTTAGGACGAAATTCTTTTTTTTTCCAAGTTTAAAAGGCTCCGTTGCTTTTTGTCTGCACTTGACGGATTTGACTGTTTATGTGAGCCGTTTTTTATAAGAGATTGTTACTTTGGCTATGCTTGCAGTTTTTGGCTATGCTTGCAGTTTTGGCAACTAATGGACTAATTATCTGGAGAAGTGTTTGTTGAGGTTAAGAAATTCACGTTAAGGTTAGTATTGGGTATTATGTTAAGGTTAGTATAGGGTATTATGTTAAGGTTAAGGTAATGCAATTAAGGTAATTTCACTTATCCGGTTTATGCCGATTTAGAATTCAGGTGCAATGACACCGTTTGGCAGGTGCGATGAAGTTGGCCCTTGACCTTAAACGACCACTGTTGGCACGCATAGGGTTGATAATCAAGAGAAGATTAATTGCTGAAACCCTTCACTTCACTTACACAAATTTTTACAGGTAGGGCGTCTGAGACTTAATCCAGGTGGGGATGCCACTAGCACTACTTGATTCGAAAAACCGAAAACCCTAAATAAATAAAATTATAATTTGAACAAATTTTTTATACCTTATCAATTTTTGTTGTTTACACATTTTTTTTAATCCAGTAGGTTTTTAGATTAGTAGGTATATGGTTCACCTTACGTGGTTCACCATGTACATGCATCCTATTTATTTTGCAGACAAAAGTTTATCTTCAACTAGTATTTTTATTATCCCCGGGTCTACAGTATTAACATTAATTTACCTAAATTATTTATTCGGTAAATAAAGCATGAAAATCTTTTATCCAAATGAATAATTAAATTTCTTTTATTTTTGACGCAATGAATAAAATGTAGCTTATATCAAAGCCTTTGCTTATATTCTTAGTTCTTTCGTGCACTTTGCCATGTTGCCACATTTCGGAAATCACATAGACGGGCGTATGCATTGGAAGTGACATCGTCGCCATATATGAAGTACATATGTAGATGGTGGCGCCAGCGGCATATACCTGAACTAAGTGCCAAACTGAAAAGGTACGAAAGCTACGTAGTCACTTCCAACCGTTTTTTTGGATTTGAGCTCCTTGTGCCCTCTAGTGGCTAAATATGCTGACAACAAGGCCAAACGTTGTCACTTCCGAAATTGGATGTGACAACGTATATAATAATAATAATAATAATAATAAACGTCTTTATTGAAATAAGGAAATACATTATTCCAAATGGCGGAATTTGAATTTAAACATTAAAAATGTAAAAATTCATTCTTACATTCAACCAATATGGAAGCTACAACGTATGTTACGTACCTATTTCGGAAGTCACTTGATACATTTCATAAATATATATATATATGTATATACACTGTATATTATACAGTGCTTGCAAATCCAAGTCCGACCGCGTTGGGAACGATGGTTGTTCAATACCCGCGTGAAAAGAATAAGGATAGAATGCCAAACAGAATTTGATTGGTCAGAGCGTCAGGCGTGCGTATTGTAAGCGCCTTCTGTTTGGCGTTCTATCCTTGTTATTTTCACGCGTCCTTCCCAAACCGGTCGGACTTGGATTTGCAAGCACTGTATATATTAGGGTGGTCCTTAGCTATAGAGGTGAAAGATATACTTTTAATATCGAATTGTCTCCCCCCATTTTGTAATAAAACAAGAGAAAAAAAATTACACAAAAATTTGAATGGCTAACACAACCCCTTCACGTGCCTGTAAGGGGTTGAATTTCGACAAAATCCCCAATTTTTAAGGTTTTTTCAATTACTCCGCAAAAGTCGCATATTTAAAAATTTACTTATAACAATCTTTTCGTCTATTAAAGGTCTATAAAAATTGTCCCCTGAGATTTTATCCTAGAATGCACCATTTCGTGGAAAATTGCATTAGTGGATAATTATTTTGTGGTAATTGTTTGGAATCTGTGCTTTAAAAAAATTTGAAATTATTTGTAAATGTGTCTTGATTTTGAAGACATTTTATGGAAACACTTCAATATACTACCTTAAATAATCTCAAAAATAATCTAAATTCATAAGCTAAAGCCACAGAACATAAGGCATCGGTTTTCGCAACGCGCGCGCCGTCTGGTGGCGCTCGATAGCATTTAAAGCATACGAACTGCACATAATGTTAAAAAAAATAGGTTGTTTTTTCACAAAAAAAGGAAGACAGTCTGACTCAACAAATTTTGTTCGCAAAGTTTCAATTGCACAGCTAAATCGCGCACGTTATTTGTGTTTTGCGTTTCAAGTAAAAACTGCAAAACTCATATCATTGATTAAGAAACTCAACGCTTATATGCTTATATAGTTACGTTAGTGGGTGTATTTTATCAAAGTGATCATGGTGAATTATTATGTTTTTAATTGTAAATGTAATTCAAGAACTAAATCGTTGCATTTTTATGTTTTGACAAAGGATATTCAACTTGGTATGTATGTATATTTGTTGACGCAGAATTAACTAATAATAACTTTACCTAATATAATTTATATTTATGTTTGGACATTTTTAAGAAATCTAACAAAAAATAATAGTTGTACAAACATAACCTTAAAATCAAACATTTTTATATTTGAGTCCTGTAAAAAACGCCGACATCATAATTTTGAAATAGTCAAAGACAAAATATATCTACGAGTTCATGGCAATATAATATATATAATACATAATATACCGTTGAGTGGAGACTTTCTAAATCGACGCTTTTAATAATGCATAACGGTGTTTGAATGTTGTTTTATGATCTTTACTGAATTGATAGTTTACAATGTTCACGTAAAAAATTACTAAAATGAGTATTTATTGTATCTAATAGGTACCTACAATTTATATTTATAGCATAGGTACTATGCATTATATTTCTTCATTTGGATTTCCACTGTTTATTGAGAAACCGGTAAAATCTCAACCCACGATTTCCTCTTAAAAAACAGCCAACAACAGAACAAATCACGTTTATTCTCAAAAACACTCGTTTGTAACATACGCGTTTGACAGCTGGTTATTAAACGATGATAGCGTATAATCTATGAGAAATTTGTGGGAAATAACACTTCTGCAAAATTGTTATTTTCCATAGATTCTTTCCAAAATTCGTTTAAACTTAAGCAACCAAAGAGGATCATTTTTATGAAAATATCAAAAAACATTTTTTAGCACTTTTTAAAATTGTCATTTCAATTTTTGTGCTGCAAAATATTACAGTTTTAAACCTTAATTTTGCAATTATAACAACAAATTAACAATTTATATTAGCTATTTTCGCGGAGCTAATCCCGAACTAATTCCGGACATCCTAGGCATGCGCTTTTTAAAAATTGGGGTTCAAAATGTAAAATGCGCATGACAAATATTAAAATGCGCATGACAAATATTAAAATGCGCATGCCCAGGATCCCCGAACTAGTTCGGGATTAGCACCGCGAAAACACCTATTATTACTTATTTAATTACTTTTTAGATTGTTTTTAATTTTTAATACTTTAATTAATTAATTAATTTGTAATAAAGTATTATTTTGTTAATTAAAATACGTTTTATTTTTACCACATTGGCTGAACTTGCTGTCACAACCTACTGTTATTTATTTATCAAACTTTTCAATGGAGATACTATCAAAATATGTTCTGTGGATACTACCTTAAGAATGTTAAAATCATCAATCAAATATTTATTCAATTGCTCAGCAAAGAAAAAATGTGGTTGAGTCATTTTTTTTATAATTTTATTGCATATAATATCAGACACCCTAAATACTAATAGTTGGTCACCTGAGGACATACATATCCATTAGGGTGTCCCTTATTTTAATTTTTTTACGCATACCCTCTAATTATATTTATTACTTGTTTATATACTCCCAGTAAAAATTTCAGCTCATTCTATAAACGGGAACCCGTGCCGACTTGCATCTAAACCCTCCGTTAGCCAACGTTAGGCGCGCGCGGTATTTTGTAACACGAAACACTTTAAAAAGAAGATATACTTCATGACTGTATTTTTCTAATGATTTTATTAAATATGATTACTAATTAATATTATTGCTTTTGTTTCTATCATTTGTTTCACTAATTTAGTTGATTTTATCCCTTAAATATATTAATATATTAATTAGTATTGCTAAAATGTACTGTTATATGAAATTTCAGCTTTTTATAAGCATTTATTTTCTTGATGTCCTCCCAAAAATATTTCAGACAGTTCAATAAGTTTTTGGTAGTCATCTCTCACAATAGACTCTTTTAGTTATTTAGAGTAAAACCCATTAAGTTTATCAATTTCAGAGTTTACGGCCTATTCACCAGACCCTTCCGGGTAACTAGCCACTCCCTGTGAAAATATACATTTTTATCAAAGTATACACATAAATAAAACTATTTTAACATTTGTCAATAATTTATAATATAAGGGTCACATAATAACCATCACAAAATGACTTACGATCGAAGACCTCGCGACCAACCGTGTTACAAAATACCGCGCGCCTAACGTTGGCTAACGGAGGGATCAGATGCAAGTCGGCACGGGTTCCCGTTTATAGAATATAGCTGAAATTCTTACTGGGAGTATATAAACACGTAATAAATACAATTAGAGGGTATGAGTAAAAAAAAATAAAAATAAGGGACACCCTAATATCCATTAATACCTGCAGTGCATACAAACTTTTATGTCATACCAGTTATTGTATTTACATTATAAATATTTAAAAAATCCAAAAATTCAATATGATTTTAGCAACACAATGTTAAGTAGTACCATAATACCTACCTAGGTACTGTAATTTTATATTTTGTAATTTTATTAATAAGTTAATCAAAAACTGTTTATTTGTGTCTGTATGCCCATGTAGTTGGTAACTAAGCAATAAAAACAAAATAAGATATTAGGGTAAGTATACTTACCACACAGGAACTCTATCTTCTGCAGTAACATTGCTAGCAATTGAATATGTCCCACTAACTTTCCATGAATACTTGTAAATTTCTTCTACCAATTTATCAATAGGTAAGTCTTTATCAATATCAAACATTGCTGCTAATCGTAGCCTCAACTTCTCATTCTCCAACAGTTTTTTCTTTCCTTCATTTGCCTTAAACGTCCAGCAATGATCAATCAAAAAAATACTGTTAGCGTCTTTCTTAGAGATATCTTTGAGTGCTTGCAGCGCAAAAATCGGGTCGCACTCTTCTTTTTTTCCGTCATATTCAAGTTTTACTATTTGAAAATACTCGCCGGCATCAAAAATTTGTCCTTTTAGTTTAGTCTCTAATGTTTTCCAGTATAATTCCGGCACGCCAGAGGCAATTAATTGGTTTTTATGCATGGTTATGAAGTCTAGCTCAGATGAATGCCCCATTTTACAAGTTTTTAACAGGACAGCGAGATTTGGTTTATTTTAAATTTAACCTCAAAATACAACTGTCCAGTGTTGCCAACAGTATATTGATATTTTCTCCCCCTACAACAAAATTCTCCGAATTTCTATCAAATTCTCCTAATCCTAAGATCAAAACATAATGTATGTATTTTTATCATACTTCACCCAAATATTGGGCTATGAAGCAGAATAAAATTCTCTGCAACATTCTCTGCAGATATAAAATTCTCTAAATGGCGGGGAATTCTCCGCCTGTTGGCAACACTGCAACTGTCAAATGTTTTTAATTAATGGAAATTCGCTTTACTTAAAAATGTTTTGATGATATATTTTGTATAAAATATATTGTAATTTTAATCAAAACTCCTATTTTTGTAGCCTAATATTAAGAATACTTAATAAAAATATATTTAGCTAAAATTTTATTTTATTACTTTTGTTTATTCAGTGAAAATTTGTTTGGACAAAAATAATTTAGCGCGATTTTTTTCCCATGTTTACTTTTTTTTCTATTTTATATTGTGAATTTCGTACAGAAAACTAAAGAAAATGGGTGTAAGTTTGATAAAATGTTACCCCCAAACCATCTTAAAATAAATTAATCATAATTTCCATAAATTTCAGAGGAAAACAGCGGCAAGTTCAGCGAAAGGCAAAGAAAAACGTTTGCAAAGAAAGGAAGAGCAACAAAGAATACAAAATGCCATGCAGGCAGTTGAAAAGGCGAATAAGTTAGATGATCCTTTTGCAGATTTTCCCGTGTTCCAAAAATTCAACAAGAATGGTATTGAAGCTGAATTATCTATTAAAAAATGCAGGGACCTCGATGATGGCTTCAAAAGTTGGGCATTCAACTTGACTAAAAAAAATATGCAACACAAGTTAGTTTATAAGTGAAGTACTTTAATTATTGTAATTTTTTAATATTGTTTATTGTTTAGGTATGAACAAAGTTCATGGGGTTGGAGTGATGAAAAGAAGTTGGATGAATTAACGGATGATGCTGCATGGTATTTAATTGTAAAAGCAGTGGATGGGACTTCTTTAGGTTTTTCACATTTTAGATTTGATGTAGACGAAGGCATTGAAGTTTTATACTGGTAAATTTATCTTAACCATTATTATAGATTATATTTTCATCAAACAATTTTGGATATTGTATTTCCCGAGTTCCACAAAAATAATTGGTGGTAACTTTGGCGCCCTCAATCTTTTTAAGAAGTACGTACAGAAAGTTTTACCATTTTACAAATATGATAAAAATACCTATAAAGCTCCACATTTTTTGTTTGACCAATAGAAAATAATATAAAACGATTTAAACCTTTTTTTAAAGGAGGGAAAAATACCAAAATTGTACATTTTACCCTTTAGATCATCTGCAGGAATATAATATCCAAAATTCAGCCAGTTTGGAATTTTTTCAATGTATTTTGACTATATGCAAAATACTAAAAAACAATGAAAACTAGAACATTCACACTAAAAATATTATAGTGCAATAAATTTAAGAAAAACCTTTAAAAAGTTGTAAAATCATTAAATAAGAAATTTTTAGTTACGAATTGCAACTGGAATCTTCTATACACCGAAAAGGTCTGGGGAAGTTTATGATGCAAGTCTTAGAACTAATAGGTTTCAAAAACAATATGAGAAAAGTGGTTTTAACAGTATTAAAGAATAATCAAAACTCTAAATTCTTTAGAGCAATTAATTATGAATTGGATGAGTCTTCACCAGTTGATGATGAAGATGAGACATACCCATATGAAATTTTAAGCAAAGCAAATAAAAGACTGGCTCCTGTTATGCCACTTTCAGTGTCCAATGGTAAAAACCATCAAAATGGCCACTGCTGTTCTGGACATCACCACCATTAAGTTAACTTAGGTATTAAATATTTATTTTTAAGCACAACCATATTGGCTTTTATTGTTAAAATAATAATAAATTTGCATTCTTACTCTTTTTTCTTGTTCTTTTTTGTATTTTAAATAAGACGTTCACTTTATTCAAAATTGTTTAATAGATAAAAATAAGGTAAGTAAAATATATTGACTTATATTAAATGTAAAATTTAGTCAAATCACAATTCTACATATAAAAATAACACTAAAAAAATTGGCACATGAAAGCATTTTATCCTTGATAAACATATTCTCCACCTGAAAAAGAAATAATATAAAAAATTTCCTTAAATAAAAATTTGTTATTGAAGCCAATGGTCTAGGCTCAAGAGTCTAGACCATTGGCATTTATTAATGTGTCTTTAATTTTTTAAAGTATGTTTTTGACTTTTCCTTGAATTTCTGCATAGCAAACTGAGTTTCAGAGTTTTTTCATGAATTTTACCTCATGTCGGCCCGTAGCATATGGGATATGAGATCAAATGAAAATAATTTCTTTCTCACGCCATAAGCTTCTCTGGTAGAAATTAACGTTTACCTACATTCAGACAACGTTGGAAATTTGTATAATAATTTGTTATACTCATAACGTTCTTTGAGTGTATGATTTGAAGTGGGAAATACACAGTTAAAACTTTGTTACGACGTTTCCAACCATAAATTCAAACTACTTGAAACTTTTTTAATTTCCAACTAAAAAAACTTAATGTGGAATATTCCACATATGTGGATTTTTTTTAAATTTGTATCCTTTATAATACATTAGTTATAAAAGTAAAATTAAAGACTGCAATAAATTTTTGAAGGTCGACAAATTTTTTAATAAGGATTTTATTATAATAATACAATAGTTATAAAAATAAAATACGTCCAAAATATTCCAAGACCCGTCGACAAATTCTTTAATGTGGATTTTTTTTATTTTTTTAACAAATTAGTTACCTATACATAAAAATCAAATAAAAAATAAATGTATTGTCCATGTTTAAATTTTACAACACCATGTTTGTCAATAGTTTCAATGCAATCTCACGTCACACCTCTTTAAAAAATTATAATTTTTTAAAGAGGTGTGACGTGAGATATAATAACAAAAATAATATAAAACACCTTAAAAAATAAAAAAAGACCAGAAACCTTACATAAAATTCTTTCTTGAAGGTATGGATATATCCAGATCAACTTAATTGAGGGCCTTTAAGTTTATATGAAACAAACGACACATATATATTATAATTATAATATATTATTATATTATTATTATTATATTATAATATATTAAGTCATGTCATATATTTCGTATGCGCATTATAATGAGCTAGAACTAAAAACCAAAACATTTTGAAGAAAAAGTGGCTGGAAGTTTTGAAGAAAAACAACTGCATTGCCAAGTTGTGGACCTAAAATCTTTAGAATCTTAGAATTTTACCTTAAAGAAATTTTACCATCTCAAGGAGAATTTCCTTATTTTAGGAAAATTTCGCTACCTTTAGGGAATTAGGAAGTGAGTTATAGAGAAATTTCATAAGTTGCGCAACAAATTTTTTCTTGGCTTGAAAACTACCCCTTTTGCTTGATGTCTTTAGTGCGCCATTTTCAGGCACCCTGTATATCAATTATAATTATAATAAATAACCTTAGATAATAACTTACATTCAGTAAAAACAGTTGTTTTATACACAACCCGAACCTTTTGTGTACTGGGTGGGCATGCAACTGCATATTGTTGACCTGACACATTTCTTCTGCTATTTTCAAACATCGTAGATTCAACCTGGTTTGAACTATTACATGGTCCCTATAAAAATAACATTTTATAATAATACCATTACACTTTATACCTGTTTTACCGCACGGGGTGATCTTATCATTTGTTGTGTTGATTTCGAATAGTTACAGCAGTTACCAGATATTATGGAGTTTTTACCAGCAGAAATAGTTGATCTCATTGAAATGCTATTAGGCGAAAGAGCACGCCGAGTCGAGCAACATTTTGAATTTTGTCCAGCAGAAATCGATGGTTCCATTGTTGAATTGCTATGAGGCGAAAGAGCACGCCGAGCCGAGCAACATTTTGAATTTTGTCCAGCAGAAATCATTGATTTCATTGAATTGCTATGAGGTGAAACAGCACGCCGAGCCGAGCAACATTTTGAATTTTGTTCCATTGTTGAATTGCTATGAGGCGAAAGAGCACACCGAGCCGAGCAACATTTTGAAACTCTAAGGTTGCTGTTATTACAACTCATGATTATAATTTTGTCTTATAAAACTGTAGAAACCACGTTTCCTTTTGATACACTTATTAATGTTTTTGTACGACTAGGTCACAGAACACAGGTATATGTTTTTACCTTCCTTTCCTGCGCAAAGCTTATCATTTTTTTCACGAAGTACGTATTTTTTACTTCTATAATTTTAAATTTTGGCGGTTTTTAGTAAGAATTAATGTCACAAGATGGCGATAATTGACAGTTGACAGCTGTCATCGAATTGTCAAAAAAGAACAACAATACATGGTTGTTTATAAGATGATACAAAAACTATTAGTGGAAGAGTGTCTAATGATAGTAAGTGATAATGTCTGAAATAAACAAGCCTTCGTTAAGTCAATATTTTGGTGCGGAAGAAAATATAAATCTAGATAATGGTATAAACGATACTTCTAATAAAATAAAAGATATTCAGCTGAATGACGAGCCAAATGCTGTAGATAAACAGGAGCCTGAAGTGTGCAGGTTATTTTCCGAAAGTTTGCCACAACCTAAAGACCCAACAGCTGCTTTTTTTGACTTGATTGGAAATAGTCATACAACTGGGTCTAATGGCTTAATATCAGATTTAGGAATAACAAGTAATGAGGTATAGTTTGATATGTTATAGTATGAAATGCATTAGGTACTAATTAATGTTATTTTTAGGATGTTTATAGTCCTAGAGTGGCTGTAGGGTCAGAAGCTGATCGCAGGAGAGATGCTTGGATTCCCAGTGAAAAAACCAGACAATGTCTTATTGCTAGTGCTACTGCACCACCTGGTACATATACAGTGGATAGGGATATGCTTACAATGCCTGGGGTTTTACTTGAGGAAGATTTGGTTAGTATATGGGTCAAACCACATCAATGAATTTTTATTGATTTTTTGGAAAGTGCCGATAATTGTTAAAAACTAAACAAAAAAACACTTTTAATCATTTTTTGAAATTCTGCACCGTTTTTATTAGTACCTAAGAACTTTACAACATTTAAAAGAAAAATTTATAACTTACAACCAGTAGCATGCCATGCGTCTTAGGGCAGAGGGGGCGAACTTTCTTAAACACAACATTTTCAAAATTGTCAACTATTTAGGGCGCAAAATGCGGTCTGTGCAGAAGGGCGGGGGGGGCGGCCACCCCCTCTGGCCCCCTATACGGCACTCTACTGCTTACAACTTAAGTTGTTTGCAATAATTGGATGAAATATTATTTTTACCTTCTAGGCCTATCATTGCAGTAAAATTTTTGTACAGGGTGTTATGTAATTAATGTTATATATTAAAATACTGAATACCTTTTGACATAAGGTGTAATGGAAAAATATTTTAAAAGATATTTTCCCAAAGATAAAGAAAATATATGCATTAGAAGTTTTTTATATTTTTTGTGATACGCCACTGGTTACACACTTGTGTTTTGTGAGTACATAGATACAAACCAACAAAGTAGCTGCGCGTTGCCAGTTGTAAAAGATTGTTACTAAAAAATTTTCTTGCATAAAATAAATAAATAGAAGTTTTAAGCCCTTAAAGTTCTAATACCATTCTGTATTTATTTACTCATCCAGCTATTAAGCAATAAGAAAAATTAGTACCTATTTAAAAACTCCATAAAATTAATTTTTTCATCGGTTTTTTTCTTTCTGTTTACTCAGATAAAATTAGGACAAGTTCACAGGTTAATTGTTAAACATTCAATTTGTGTAAATAAATCCAAACGCCCAAAAGCACTTCCCTTAGTTAAGATATTTACAATTCGAGCACATAACCTACAATTTTTTGACAGAATGTGTTACCAACCAACATAATAAATTAAACCAGATTAACTTAAAGTAAAGTAAATCATTACGAATTATGAATAAAGTTTAAATCTGGTGTGTCTAAATTTAAATATATTTTTTATAAGTATGTTTTTAAATCACAATGTTAAAACGATTTTTAAAAAATCATTAGTTTACAAATTTTTACAAGGTCTAATTAGTGATCTAGCGATTTCAGGTTTTTATGTTTTTCAAGTTATTTCAGGTTTTTATTCTTTTATAAATATTTTGAAAGTTTGAAAATTTGTATTTTATTAGTAATAATAATAAGTAATTAGTGCAAAAGATTTTATGCTATGGCGGGTCGGGCGCTCACAAATATTCAATTAACAAATATGGTTTTGTGTTACGGGGAAGCGATGCAAAATGCTGGTAGGTATATACAAAATTATCACAACGCCAATCACGGACATCCACCGCCCTCGGACCAAGGTTTGGTACGTGCTGTGCAAAATTTAAGGGACCGCGGAAGATTTAGCGCATTTGTTGGTGATAGGGGTCGGGCTCAGGGACGTGAATTTGTGGCCCTTGAAGAACAAATTTTGGACGAAGTGGAAGCAAATCCGAGAATTAGTACAAGACGATTAACAAATGTCCAACTTTGTTACGTGGCGCACGATTCACGAAAATAGTTTGTACCCCTATCACCTACAAAAAGTTCAAGCTCTTCAGGATGGAGATTATGCACTGCGGTTGGAATTTTGCCATTGGTATATACAGAAAAATCAAGAAGATGCTTATTGGAGCCATAGTGTTTTGTATACCGATGAGGCCACATTACGAGAGACAGGATTTAGGCAGCAACTCAGGAACTTAATTGTAAATAGTCCAGACATTTTTACGCGGGTGCGCGAAAGCATGCTTCGCAGAGTTTAAACTTGCATTCTAAATAATGAAATCATTTTGAGCATCTCAAATAAGGTAATACATTTTTAATTTTACATCTTCTTCTCCTTCTTTTTTATTTATTGGCCTTGGTCTGTGTAAACCATATCAGCCAGTGGTCTGGATTCTTAGGCGTTATCCGGGGTAGTATGTTGGCTGTTAACGTGCTGGTGAAAAGGAATTTGGGTATTAGGTTTTATATGTAAGGCGTAGCCATGCAAAGCGGGTAGGTCAGAGCGAATGAGAGCAGGGGGTTTTACAGCCTGGTGTTAGTTGAATCTAGGAAGGCGAGTACTGCAACTATAACTTCGTGCGTGGGGTTATTTAAGATGTTTGTCAGGTTTATGGGATTGATGGAGATTCTACTTAATTTTCTATATAGGTTGTTGATGTGGTCTGTCTGTGTTGTACATTCTAGAAATATGTGGTGGAGGTCTTGTTCGGTGGCTCCGCAGTCACACGAAGGGCTGGTTTCTAAGCCAATTCTATGCAGATGGGATTTTGTGAGACAGTGACCACTTCTTAGTCTCAGGAAGGTAGTGATGTGTCTTCTATCAAGAGAGTTGATTGAGATCCAAGGCTTTTGAAGTTCTGGTGTATGTGTGGAGTAGAATCTGCCTGATTGCGTTAGGTTTTCCTTAAATGTGTTTTTCCATCTCTTGTGTATGTCGTGTTTTATAAGTTTTATGAGATCTTCATAGGGTGATCTTGTTTCTGTTAGGTCTTCCAACTTGCATCCTTTGCTGGCTAGGTTGTCCGCTATTTCGTTGCCTGGGATGTTCGTGTGGCTGGGGACCCAGCAGAATTCTACTTTGGCTCCCCGTACTTCTAGATTGTGTAAGGTGGTCTTAGCTTCAAATGTGAGAGAGTCTTTTTTTGCGGTGTTGTTGGTGTTACATATTTTTTTAAGCGCTGCCTGGGAGTCTGAGAGGATAATGAAGTGTCTTCTTCCGGATTGAATATGGCTGTTTGTAGCGTGTAACAGAGCTTGAGCAATTGCGAAGCATTCTGCTGTCGCTATGGAGGCATGGTTTGGGAGTCTGGCGGAGTATTTTAGTTGATTGGAAGGGCTATAAACTCCTGACCCAACTCCGACTTGGCTGACTGAGCCGTCCGTGTAGTAGGCTTCCCAGCCTTTCCATTTGTTTTGAAAGTAGTGCAGAAAAGCCTGTTTATTGTCAGTTTGTTTTTGGAGGGCGGGAACGTGGATCTTTCGTGTAACGGTGATGGAGTCGAAGTTTGTATTGAAGCAGGGAAGGAGGGGGGAAGTTTTTATCGAGGCGGTTTTGTTGAGAAAAAAGTCCAATGCGTAGATTATAGGGGGAGGAGATTTGTTTGCCCAGTATATTCCGTCGTCATAGTAGTCCGAGTAGACGCCTATAAATTTTCCTTTGACTGGGTGGTTTTCCAAGGAGAACAGTCTGCCTACATACTTGGAAGCTAGCCATTCCCTTCTTAGGTGGAGTGGTTGTTCCCCGATTTCCGCTAGTAATACATTAACTGGGGTAGTTTTCATGTATCCTCCTATAATTCTTAATGCTTGGTGTTGGATTTTTGATAGTTTTAAAATGTGGGTCTTGGGTACTCGAAAGAAGAGGGGACTGCAAAAATCCAGGAACGGCCTTATACATGCTTTGTAAATCAGAAGTAGAGTTCGGGGGTCCGCCCCCCATTTTGTACCACATAAACTTCTTAAAATGTTTAGCCTCTTGGACGCCTTGATGCATGCGTGGTCTATATGTTCTTTCCAGCTTAGCGAGTAGTCTAATGTGGCACCCAAATATTTTATAGAATCTGCCCAAGGGATTATTTGACCGGTTGTATGTATGTTATTTAAGGGGCGGTAAGTAGATGTTTTCCTAAAGAGAATGGCAGAGCTTTTGTGGGGGGCTATATTCAAGCCATGATCTAGTAGCCAGTTGTTGATATGGTCGAGGGTGTAGTTGATTGAATCCACGAGGGTATTGTCGTTGGGGCCAGAGCACAGGACGGCAAGGTCGTCGGCATATTGGATGATTTTACATTGCATGAAGGCGTTATGATGTAGTAGATTGGTGTATACATTGAAGAGGAGAGGGCTGAGGATTGAGCCTTGGGGGAGCCCGAGGGAGGCTGTGTTGGGACCGAGTTTATAGTCTTTGGCTTCTGGATCGAATATATATATGTGTCTGTTTCCATAAAGTTTTAGAATTAGATCTGCTATATTTTTCGGAAAGTTAGATTCGGCGAGGAGGGGATATAGGATGGGAAGAACTACGTTATCGAACGCTCCTGCGATGTCTAAGGTTGCTAGGATTGAGTGGTTCCCTTTTACGAGTTCGGTTTGTACAGTTGATGTTTTTACATTTGGCAACACTGCGTTAAAAAGTAATAGGTAAGGTTAATCCGCGGTTCCTAGTCGATCAGTGGCGTACTTTTTGGTAGGATAAAGGTTATTATAAATTATTTTTAGTCTTTGGAATTTAGAAAAAAAAAGTTTCAGGTGCTTCTTTATGGACCCTAAGGAACTACCCATTTTAATATATAACATTAATTACATAACACCCTGTATAATAAAATATAAAATAAACTTTATTGGATTACTCCAAAAGGCTAATGACCTTAGTATTTCTGCCTATTTACAATAAATTTACAACACATTTATAATATTTAAAATATTTTGATATTTGTTTACAAAAAAAAAAGGATTACAACAATAAATCAGTGTAAGTATTCTTCCGCCCATAGCTACAGTGTGTCATACAGTGGCCTATCAGGGTATTTTCTCTTTTGGGTGTTCTCAGGATTTGTTTGGTATATCAACGGTTCCATCACGGTGAAGTTATGATTTTTATTTGCAAATTTTTGTGCAAGGTATACCAGTCTTGTTTGGATGGGTTGGACTTTAGTTATGCGGTAAAGGGATTCATTGGATGGGTTAAATAAAGGGTTTTGGGGGTGTCGGATTTTTGTAATTTTCCTCAGACTTGTACGTTCTCGTATCTCGATGTTTGAGAGGGTCGGTTTTCTGCAATTTTGAAAGCAGATCCATATTTCAACACTGGCCGACAGATTAGTTTATAAATGGATGCAGCCGTTTTAATATTTATGGCCTGGTCTTTATATGTAAGGCTTCTAAATTGTTTTGCCTTATTT